ACCGTCTAGCATTATGCTGCCAAACCACCAGTCAGCTTTCCAGCACGAGTCTTTCGTGGACTCGGCTATTGAAGAACTCGTGGCAACGGGGGCCGCTAGGCAGGTCGACCACCAGCCGCACTGTGTACTACCGCTGGGTGTGGTGCCGAAGAAGGGGTCGGATAAGTTCAGGCTCATCTTTGATGCACGCTACGTCAACGAGCATCTGTATGTGCCGAGCTTCAAGTATGAGGCGTTAAGCCACTTGTCGGAAGTCCTTGAACCAAATGACTATATGTTTACTGTTGATTTGAAGTCGGGGTACCACCACATCGACATGCATCCCGATGCGTGGGAGTATCTCGGGTTCCATTGGAAGGGCAAGTTTTACTACTTTGTTCAACTGCCGTTTGGTTTGTCCCCTGCGTGTTGGGTGTTTACTAAGGTTACACGGGAGCTGCAGCAGCATTGGCGCTCTCAGGGCCATCGGTGTTCATGTTATATTGACGACAGCATCCACGCACATAGGGACAAGGAGAAACTCCTTGCCTGGCGGGAGCAGGTGCTGGCAGATTTGGATGCTGCGGGATTCTTAGTTAGCGAGTCTAAATGTTCCCTTGAGCCAGAGCAGCGGAAGGTGTACCTGGGCGCCCTCGTGGACACAGTGCAAGGGTCGTTGTTCGTTCCAGAAGGCAAACGGGATGCCATAAAAGCTGCCATGCGAGGGGCACTCAACGTGTTTCACAGCGGGGGCAAGTTCCGGGTTCGTGACTTGGCATCAATTTCCGGAACGCTTCAATCAATGTCTTACTCGTTTGGCACTATCTCCAACCTCATGACGAGGCGCATGGCCGCTTGGGTGGCGAGTGAGATAGCCTTAGGTCATACGTACAATCACCACAGGTTACTGAACGCCGAGGTGGCGGGAGAATTGGAGTTCTGGTTACATTCCTTTGAACAATTTGATGGGTTTAAGCCCTTGTGGAGGCCTCCTCACATCCACTCGATTATTATTCATACAGATGCCGCCGGCCGGTCTGATTACTCATACGGCGGCTGGGGAGGTTGGACGCGTTCGGTCAGTGGCAACCTTGCAATTGCATCTGGGAAATGGGATTTTGAAACCGTCGGGCGGTCATCCACCTATCTCGAGTTACTGGGTGCCCTTAATGTGCTTAAGAGCCTTAACCGAGACGGTGGTCTCGTTGGGCAACGGGTCCTGCTGCGCACGGACAGCCAACCAATGCGTGATATCCTCGATAAAGGTGGCTCAGTGGTAGCGGCTATCCAGGACGTCTGTATGCCGTTTATGTGGTACTGTATTGAGAACAGCATTGACTTACTTGTGGAATGGGTACCACGGGAGTTGAACCAGTTTGCTGACAATCTCTCTAAGAGGCAGGACTCGTGCGATTGGAAGCTGAACCCGCGCATCTTTAATGGCTTGGCCGCAAAGTGGGGTGTACAGGGCCGTTTCGCTGTGGATCTGTTCGCATCGGATACCAACCGCCAGCTCGAGCCGTACTACAGTTACCACCACACCCCGACGTGCGCTGGTGTCAATGCTTTTGCGTACCGCTGGCCTGTTGCACCGGATGTGGCTTGGTGCAACCCACCATTTGCAGTCATTGGGAGGGTGTTGGCCCATGCCGCGGCATGCAAGGCGCGCATGTGCCTAGTGGTGCCTTTCTGGCCGAGGGCGGCATGGTGGCCGCGTATTATTGCCGATAAATCGACATTCCAATGGTTTGTGCACGCGGTGCAAGTGCTGGAGCAGGCAACGGACTTGTTCCTGAGCGGCTCAATGTGCGCACTTGTTCCCCAGCAAACTCCGGCTTGGAGAACTATGGCACTGCTTGTGGATTTTGGCACTGCAAACACCGGAAGGCCGATTCAGGTTCCTGACTTGTAATGCACCTGTGTTCGATTGGCTCGCAGATGCGGCAACGGTTTCGCTCATCCAGGCTAGCTTGGGCGACTTGCAGGGTCACCCTCGCCTAGCGGAGTCTGTGCAGCTAATAGCATCTATGGGACGGGCCTCAAAGGCCGCAAACACATGGAAAGCGTACGACCCCAGCTGGAAGCGGTTCCTGGATTACTGCAGAGAGTTGCGGGTAGACCCGTTCGCATGCAGCTTGGGCATCGTAGCCTGTTTCCTAGCAGAAGTCTACCAAGCAGCAGCCAAGAGGGGTGTGGGACCCCAGGCAGTCGAGCGGGCCAGCGCAGCGATCTCAGCACACTATGAGATTGCAGGCCTACGGTCACCGTGCCTCACGCCACTGTGCGGGGTCATCAGGGAAACAGCCAGACGGACCCTGGTAGGCAAGCGCTATGTGCGAGAAGACATTACTTGGGAGGAGGTGAAACAAGTGCTTGACTACCACTTTGCAGCCAGCTCAGTGCCTCTGTGGACGCGCATGATCCTGACGGGCGTGGTGCTGTGCTTCACGGCATTGCTGCGCTACAACGACTTGTCGCACGCGCTCGTGCACGAACGGCTGCTGCGCATCTACCCAGGCGATCGCATGGAGATTTTCCTGTGGTGCAGCAAGACGGACCAGCGCGCTGAGGGCACCACCGTCACAGTGGGTGCAACGGGTGGGCCGTACTGCCCAGTGCGCATGGTCAGCGATTTGCTCGCAGCCGGACAGTACAAGCGGCAGCCAGCGCAGGCCGTCTCGCAGACCGGCCGTGTAGTGGAGACGGAGGATGTAGGGCCGCTGATGCGCCGTGTCATCAAGGGGGAAAACGGAGTGCAGAAGCTGGAGCAGGTCACGGCGCCGCTGGACAAGCCCATCCCGCCCCTGCCTGATGCAGCCGTGCGGCAGGCGGTAAATGACCTTTTCCAAGCAGCGGGTATCAGCAAGCGGATTCGCTTGCATGCCTTCCGGGCCGCCGGCGCCTCGGCCGCCGTCAACGCGGGGGCCGAGAGGGAGTCGGTCCAAAACCTCGGCCGCTGGCGCAGCGCGGACGTGATGCAGCGGCATTATATTAAGGAGAGCACGCAGAAGAAGCGGGCCCTTACCGCACGCATTGTCGGCGCGACCCAAGGTTAAGAGCACTGTGGTCCTTTCAAGTTCTGGGTGCTGTCAGCACAATCGGCCACTAGTGCATCTTAAACATGGGTTGGGGCGTCGGGATGTGTGGGTTAGGGTAGGGTTCTTGGCGTGGAGGCGACGTACGGCTGGTTGGCTTCGGCTTACATTATCTGCTGTAACGCATCACGGCAGCTAAAGCAAGAAGATGCCACTTCTGTAAGGAAGTATGACTGAAGAAGTAGGTTTCTTGCTAGCTGCCGTGGTGCGTGGAAGCAGATGGCGCGCTTGCATGGGTGTACGACAGCGATGGCAAATCGACCCAGCCTATCAGGGCTGTCCACGCGTTTGTGCTTTTAACTGCCGTTGTGATTGATAGTATCGGGTGGCCATCCCTCTGCCGGGATTGCGGCCGCCTAGGTCCCACCCACCCGCCCGAGGTCGCGCCTAGCGAGTGGGGGTTTGCTTGCGTTTCGTCTTTAGTAGGACAACCAGTTTGGGGAGCTACTTGGACGCCGGTCTCTCAATTAAGGGGGTCAATCGGCAATCGAGGTGCAACACTGGGTGCTGTCAGCACAATCGGCCACTAGTGCATCTTAAACATGGGTTGGGGCGTCGGGATGTGTGGGTTAGGGTAGGGTTCTTGGCGTGGAGGCGACGTACGGCTGGTTGGCTTCGGCTTACATTATCTGCTGTAACGCATCACGGCAGCTAAAGCAAGAAGTGGCATTAGTACGGAATGGCAACAATGTGGCTTGGTGGTGGAGAGCTAGCCAGGTAGGATGTTGGCGGTTTTGGCCTGATCCTTCATGCATTCCAGGCGTTCCGCTAGGCCGTGGCTTGGACACAAGGGAACAGACATAGCTCGGCCGATCATAGCATCATTTTTCTCCGAAACCTCCAGTCTTTGCCACGTACTGTGAAATTCGTTTCAAACTATTAAACTCGGATCTTTGCGGCATATGAAAGAGCAATCCGGAAGTCTGTTGACGTCTGGACGGCTTTGGAAGCTACATTAGGGGCGACAACATTACTATTTTTGTACCTACAAGGCCCCGGCCGCAGGAGCTACCGTATGGCTAGCAGCTATCTAGGAAACTGAGGCGTGTGCCGTACCCCAAAGTAAGTCTTGCGATGGTTGGCTCCCTGATTTGCTTTCAGAGCATATACTGAATCTCAACAAGGTACACAAGAAGAAAGCGGACACCGATGACTCTTACCGGGGGGCGGAGGTGATGGGCTTGACGGTGGTGGTGGTGATGGCAGCAGTGGGGCCAGGGGGCTTGGTGTTGGAGGTGGTGTTGATGGTTCCACTGCGGCAAATGAGCATGACAGACCGAACCATCAGTCTCATGGCCTGCCCTCTTGCTTGAAGCACAACTGCACGCAATCTCTGCTGCTTTGGTGTGTCTGGTAACACAATTGGCTCGCCCCCGGACAGAAGAATACGCAAAGCAAGTGTGCTATGTTAGAGCCTCTCCAGTTGGATTGTGGATCCTGGTCGCGTCTTTTGGCACGTCACATACAGGACCATCAATCTAAGCATTTCTAAATTGGCAAACAAACCTATCCTAGTCTGTCCTAGTAGTGAAATATGCGTGGCCAAGCAAGCACAGGCTATGTGCATAAATGTGCATTCGTTTTAAACACACTTACCAGGGGGCGGCGATGGAGGTGTTGTTGGTGGTGGTGCTGCTGGTGGTGGCAGCAGCGGCGCTGGCGATGGTGGGCTTGGAGATTCTACATACACGGATCATGGATCCACGGCAATGGAAAAGTTTGGTATGATGAGATGGGAACACTGATTTGAAGGGGACATGGTACAGCAGTACATATCTGCGAACAGGGACTTAGCTACCTATATATATGGGGCAAAGCTCGTCAGGCTAACGCGTGTGGCTGCTCGTGCGTGCAGGCAATGCGGCACAATCATTATTTAGAGACGTTTGAACTGCATAAAGGTGCATTCTTATTTAACACACTTACCAGGGGGCGGTAATGGTGCTGGTGGTGCTGCTGGTGGTGGCAGCAGCGGCGCTGGCGATTATGGGCGGTAATGGAAAGGTTAGGTATGATGAGATGGGGAACACTGGAACATGGCCCGGCAGTACATATGTGCAAACAGGGGCTTAGCTATTTATATGGGGCAGAGCTGGTCAGGGTGAGGTGTGTGGCTGCTCGTGCGTGCGGAGCAAGGCAATGCGGCAGAAGCGTTTGGACACGTATGAACAGCAGAGAAGGGCCTGATACATAGTGACACATGGACGGACCAAGTGCATTAGGCGAGAGGCATGCGAGAACCTTGCAAACAAAATTCATTGCTTCTTGTAAGTCACTTACAGCCACAACAGGCCACCTAATAAAACAATAAGACAATAAACAAAGTGGATAGAAAATATAACATGTAAAAAAGTAGGTGAAAAGCAATGTCCTATTTTTTATTTATTGTATAAATAAAAAAAAGCAAAGCAATGGATAAAGGAAAAAGTGTGGACATCCACCTGAAAGGTGGAAATGGATACCCAACGGGCCTCCTAAAAAAAGGCAAAGCCGTTATTATGCAGACAAATAACAGCCCTAGGTAGCCAGCTCGGACATAAATGGATAGCACGCACTCAGTATGCCACTTGCAATTCGAATTGATGGGACTGCCTGGCCATCTTAGTGCATGAAAGCGGATGACTACATACCCTTGGGGGGTTGTGGTAGCGACGGGCTGGGCGGCAGTGTAGGTGGCGGGCTTGGTGGTGGGGATGGTGCTGGCGGTTTCCATGCGGCATAGGATAACCCAGGGCAAGTTTTAATAACCGGGTGGCCATTTAAGGCTGAATAGGCGCATAAAGCGCATGATAACCTGGTGGCATTCTTATCCGCATGCAGGAGGTGCAGGTAGCGGCTGGGTGGCGTGGCAGTGGACGTAATGGGCTTTGTGGTGGAGAGGGTGGTGACGGTTTCAATGTTGCATAAACGAAACCAGGTCGGACACGCGCTAGATTCGGGTCAAGCGAGTCACACCCTAATTGCACGACCGACACGCTTACCAGTAGGGGGTGGTGGTGGCGGCCTGGGTGGCGGTGGTGGTGGCGGGCTGGGCGGTGGTGGTGGTGGCGGGCTGGGCGGCGGTGGTGGCGGTGGGCTCGGTGGTGGAGAGAATGGTGGCGGTTTTACTGCGGCATAGAACAGACCAGGACATCATATAATACGGCCCGTATAGAGGGGATGCACTGCATACCATAGACGTGTATTGACGTCAGAGGGCAAGCCCTAGTGCCCCTACCACGCTGTTCTCTATTCCGCGCTTTAGCCGTCATCTAGATGACACAATTGACTAGCCTAGTATTGCCCATGGACAGATTACTTTATCAGCATGAAAAGCAGAAAAGGGCAGGCAAGCAACGATCAGGACACAGTCGATCAGGTAAATGTTTATAACCATTACTGCAACATCCACAGCGGGTTTGCTCACCAATGTATGGGTTGGCCTTGACGACTTGGAAGGAGAAGCTGAAGCGGTCGGTTTGGGGCAGCACAGTCCGCGTCTGCAGCGCCCAAGCCTGGTAGTTGCTTGTCCGGGACATAACGTGGACCTCTGTGCTGCTGCTATCGCCAGCATATTTGATAGCGAACAAGTCATCACTGGCGCTGAGCTGAAAGGTGAAGCTATCACGTGTGGCGCCGCTGAGGGGGGTGGTTGCGCTCACAACCGCAGTCTGGTACTTGCTCGCCTTGGAAAAGGTCCGCACTGCAGCGCGCCCGCTTGTGCCACTGTACGTAGGCATGGCAACAATGGGGCGGGCACTTACTACACTACGAGGATGTGATACCCACAAGGAAACGTTCTTTGCTTGCGGGCAGGCGATTACATCTTTGCGTTAGGACACGCCAGTTGAGGCTACAGCAAGTGAGTGAACACACCAGCGGCAGCAGTGGTGACTACATATATGGAATAGCAGAGCAGCACATGGCAGCAGTTGTCGCCTTACACAACTACTGGCAACAAGTGTGTGGCACAGGAGGGATTCTTCTGTAGATACCTACTTATTGTTAGTACAATCCATACATGTATGCTGGGAAGCACTAAACCCGCCCATCGCAACCATTGGCCTGCTCATGCATTCAATCCACACACACCTGTACTTTACGACGAGCAGGTTGTCCGCCGAGTCCAAGAGGAAGGCGTGTGTGCTGGGGCTGCTTACTGGCACAGCTGTGCCCGTCTGAAACATGAAGTACTGGTAGTTGCTCTCACGTGAGAGGACGTGCAGCTCGGTTCTCAGTGATTCGCCAACATACTTGACAGCCACCAGGTTGTTTTGGGAATCGAGCAAGTAGGCGAACTCATCGAAAGTGAGCTGTGGCATTGCCACCTGCAGTGAAAACGACTGGTAGCTACTGGCTGCGGTGAGCACATGCAGCTCACGGAAACCGCTGTTGCCGCGCTGAAGAATGACGAAGAGGTCCAGGTTGGTGCGGCTGAGCAGGAACACGTGGCTGTCGGCCGTGGCGCCAGCCAACACGGTTGGCAGCTGCAGTGAGAAGCTGTTCCAATTGCTGTCACGGTCCAAGAAGTGAACCTCAGCTTGGCCACCCACGCCACTGTACTTGACCGCCAAGATATCTGAGACGCCAATGCTGGAGCCTTGAGTACGGTTGAGGCAGCAGGGGCAGCACAGCAAGGGCAATCACGCATGGATGATGTTTGGGTGGTGAGTCTGCATGTGTATGCTTCCCTCATTCACCAGCATTTAACCACCAGCCAGAAAGCTCTATGTGTAGGGGCAAACTAGCCAATCTCTGGCCAGGCACATGAAAGTGCATGGCCATATTTTACTTGCCTGAGAAAGGTGGCGGTGGTGGCGGGCTGGGCGGCGGCGGTGGTGGCGGGCTCGGTGGCGGGCTGGGCGGTGGTGGCGGTGGAGGCCTCGGTGGCGGGCTGGGCGGCGGTGGTGGTGGAGGCCTCGGTGGCGGTCTGGGCGGTGGTGGTGGTGGAGGCCTTGGTGGCGGGCTGGGCGGTGGTGGTGGTGGAGGCCTCGGAGGTGGAGAAGGTGGTGGCGGGGGCGGTGGCGGCCTCGGTGGCGGGCTGGGCGGCGGTGGTGGTGGAGGCCTCGGTGGCGGGCTGGGCGGTGGTGGTGGTGGAGGCCTTGGTGGCGGGCTGGGTGGTGGTGGTGGTGGCGGCCTTGGTGGCGGGCTGGGCGGTGGTGGTGGTGGCGGCCTTGGTGGCGGGCTGGGCGGTGGTGGTGGTGGCGGCCTCGAAGTTGGAGAAGGTGGTGGCGGTGGCGGTGGCGGCCTCGGTGGCGGGCTGGGCGGCGGTGGTGGTGGAGGCCTCGGAGGTGGAGAAGGTGGTGGCGGTGGCGGTGGCGGCCTTGGTGGCGGGCTGGGCGGCGGTGGTGGTGGAGGCCTTGGTGGCGGGCTGGGTGGTGGTGGTGGTGGAGGCCTTGGTGGCGGGCTGGGTGGTGGTGGTGGTGGAGGCCTTGGTGGCGGGCTGGGTGGTGGTGGTGGTGGAGGCCTTGGTGGCGGGCTGGGCGGTGGTGGTGGTGGCGGCCTTGGTGGCGGGCTGGGCGGTGGTGGTGGTGGCGGCCTCGGAGTTGGAGAAGGTGGTGGCGGGGGCGGGGGCGGCCTCGGTGGCGGGCTGGGCGGCGGTGGTGGTGGAGGCCTCGGAGGTGGAGAAGGTGGTGGCAGTGGCGGTGGCGGCCTTGGTGGCGGGCTGGGCGGCGGTGGTGGTGGAGGCCTTGGTGGCGGGCTGGGCGGCGGTGGTGGTGGAGGCCTTGGTGGCGGGCTGGGCGGCAGTGGTGGTGGTGGCCTCGGAGGTGGTGAGGGTGGTGGCGGTTTCACTGCGGCATAGCATACGACATATTATTAATTATTGCTGTCTGCATAGAAGGAATGCATTACACACCATACGCGGGTGCAGCTTATTGACACCAGAGCGAGGGCAAGCCCTAATGGCCATGTAGTGTCTGCGCTGTTTTCCTTGCTTGAATCAGTCAGTTAACTGGCATAACATCTCAGGATTAATGTATCATTTTGAGTGTCAACTAAAAATGGGGTTTTGGAGCGCATGTACGACAGGGAGCAGAGCAGTCGCCACCAGGCTTGCGAGTGGACGGTGCTAGACGTTTTGACCTTGGTTAAACAGTTTGCCCTCAGCTGGCCTTTCAGGTCTTTGCCGCTGAGTTTCCGTGCGCAGTTAGGAAGGCGCTGACTTTTGCGTAGTTGCAGACAGTTCTTAAGTATGGCTGCAGCTGTAGGTAGGCGAGCCTTTTGTTTACGTTCATAGCCCGGGCATGCCGCTGGGGTTTCACGTTCATGCAGGGCCTCTACGACAGCCTCTTCTGCCCCACCCGCCCGCCGGCCACTGTCGGCCTGGCGGCGGACGCAGTAGAAGACCTGGCTTTCTGGTGGCAGGTGCTACGGGCGGATTCCTCTGTCTGGGACGGGGTAAAGCGCTCAGCGGGCATCGGTTTGGACCTAGTGAGGGGGGAGTTTATCGGCCAGGATGGGGCCGTCCTCTTCACGGACGCTAGTGGGCGTGGGTTTGGCGCAGTCTGGGGGGAGGCGGAGGTGCAAGGGGCATGGTCAGAGGAGGAGCGTCAGCTGCACATCTCGTGGCTGGAGCTCAAGGCGGTCCTCAGAGCGCTGCAGTCATGGGCCGCCAGCCTTGCCGGGCGCCGGGTGCTGGTGCGTTGTGACAACACCCAAGCCGTAGCAGCCATCAACCACGGCTCCACCCGCATCCCAGAGGGCCGCAGCCTTAGCCGCCAAATTGCAGAGCTTGCGATTAGCTCAGGGTTCGAGGTCCGGGCTGAGCACATTCCCGGCGTGGACAACGGCCAGGCCGACCGCCTCAGCCGCCGCCTTGACAGCGCCCAGGATCAGAACCTGCGGCTGAAGGCCAGCATCTTCAGGGAGCTATGCCGCAAGTTCTCTCTCCGGCCCACCGTCGACTGCTGCTGCGACGCCCATGGCTCCAACCGGCAGCCCGGCTGTGAGGTGTTCTACAGCGCGGGGCGGTCGGTGCTTGGCCAGGAGGCCGAGCTGGCGGGCAAGGCGCTGTGGGCCTTCCCACCCCAGGCCCTGGTGGGGGAGGTGCTAGCGACCCTCGTGGCAGCGGCACGGCGTGACTCGCGGACGCGGGCGGTTGTGGTGGTGCCTTTCTGGCCGGAGCGGGGGTGGTTCCGGGCCTTCGTCCGTAGCCGATCCGCACCATTCCGGGTCGCCCAGGTGCTGCCCAGGGGCGGCCGCCTCTGCGTTTGGCCCTGGGGCGACGAGGCGGGTCCTTCTCCTTACGATATGCTGGTCTTACGCCTGCCCTGACCGAATTCCGATCCGCGTTTGCGCCCCCATGGCGATTGTAGAGGGTGGCGGGAGCTGCGAGGCCTGCGTGCGGCGCACCTCCGTGGGGGACTTGCGCTGTGAGACATGCGACATACGGGCACATCGCCGCTGCCTGGGACTGCCGCCGGGCTCGTACCCCGGCGGCTGGTTCCGCTGCATCCACTGCATCCTGGCGGCGGCGGGTTTTCCGGCAGGGGCTGCGGGCGGTCGGCAGGAGGCACTCGCGGCGAGGCTGGTGGCGCTAGCGGGAAGCGCCGTGTCGGCGGGTTCAGCAGGGACGTACGAATCCCATCGCCGCCGCTACGCGGCCTTCTGCGCTGCTCTGGGCTTACCCATGAGGGCGGCTTTCCCACCTGCGCGGGGCGCGGACCTCAGCCCCGAGCTGGTGAGCCTGTTCATCGCCCATGAGGCCGACCGTGTGGCCCCCTCAACGTTGTCAGGCACCATTAGCGCCCTTGCGGACTGGCAGCGCGCGAAGGGTTTTCCGGCGGAGGCCTCCATCCGCCGGAACCCATTGGTGCAACGCACGCTGAGGCAGGCGTGGCGTGCCCGGGCGCCGGCGGCAGCCGCCACAGCTGGCGGCGATGCAGGGGCCGAGCCGCTGCCGCAACGTACGAAGGAGGCGTTCCCGGTGCCGCTTCTGCGGCTCCTATTGGGCTGGCTGGCAGCGACGGCGGACGGGGCGCCAGCGCGCCGAGCGGAGCTCGAGCAGGATGCGTGTTGGCTGGTGGTGGGTTTCTTTGGGATGCTGCGGAGAAGTGAGCTGGCGGGGCTGCGGCTAGGTGACGTGCATTCGCTGACTGGTGGGGTTCACGTGGTGCGGATAACGAGGAGCAAGACCGATCAGGTTGGGGCAGGGGTGGATGTGCACCTGGGGGCATCGTCTGGCAGCGGAGTACGCATCGGGCGCATTATAGGGCGCCACCTAGAGCGGGCCCGCTCTGGGGGGGCGGAGCCCAGCGCGCCGCTCTTCACGCGGGGCCCCCAGTGGGGACCGGGGTCGGAGGCTTGGCGGAAGGAGGGGTTTACGCGTAGGCTTAGGGCGCTCTTAGGAGAGATGCAGCGCGCCCTGCCACAAATAGCCGGGCGGGTACCAGATTACGCGTCCCACAGCCTGAGAAGGGGGGGAGCCACGGCTGCAGCGGAAGGGGGGGCCTCTGGAGAGCAGATCAAGGCGCACGGGAGGTGGCGGTCGGAGGCGGTGAGCGCGTATATCCTCCCCTCCGCGGCGGCTAAGGCCCGCATTGTGGGGTGCATGTGAGGTGACGAGGCGTGCGGTGGGTGACAGGGTAAGGGGGGTCCTCTCTAGGCGTGCATGCATGCGGAAGCGCGCCTAGAGCCTAGTACGCCGGGGCGGGTTTTGGGGGCTAGAGCCCATCCGCGCCAGGCTGTTGGTTTTCCCCCTCTCCTGTTGTTCCCCGGAGAGGGTAGGGTGAGGTATCGGCTAGGTAGCAAACTTGGTTAGTTACAGAGTTGGGTCTCTTAGACGCTGTTCGGAGTCTGGGCCCGCAGGCCAGGTCCCAGGCGGTGTAAGTTGATGAGGGGTGCGACTCCTCTGGCACTGGAGTGTGTGCGACAAAAGTATCATTTTGAGTGTCAACTAAAAATGGGGTTTTGGAGCGCATGTACGACAGGGAGCAGAGCAGTCGCCACCAGGCTTGCGAGTGGACGGTGCTAGACGTTTTGACCTTGGTTAAACAGTTTGCCCTCAGCTGGCCTTTCAGGTCTTTGCCGCTGAGTTTCCGTGCGCAGTTAGGAAGGCGCTGACTTTTGCGTAGTTGCAGACAGTTCTTAAGTATGGCTGCAGCTGTAGGTAGGCGAGCCTTTTGTTTCCCACCCTCCCACCCCTACTCTCTCCGGGGTCCTCTCTAGGCGTGCATGCATGCGGAAGCGCGCCTAGAGCCTAGTACGCCGGGGCGGGTTTTGGGGGCTAGAGCCCATCCGCGCCAGGCTGTTGGTTTTCCCCCTCTCCTGTTGTTCCCCGGAGAGGGTAGGGTGAGGTATCGGCTAGGTAGCAAACTTGGTTAGTTACAGAGTTGGGTCTCTTAGACGCTGTTCGGAGTCTGGGCCCGCAGGCCAGGTCCCAGGCGGTGTAAGTTGATGAGGGGTGCGACTCCTCTGGCACTGGAGTGTGTGCGACAAAAAAGCCTATTATTGCGCATGAAGTACCTGGATAGAATATCCAGGCAGGAGAGGAAAAGCAAGCAAGCCACACAACGATCAGGGCACATCAGGTGTGTGTGTTTTACCGTCATTGCAACATCCACAGCGGGTTTGCTCACCAATGTATGGGTTGGCCTTGACGACTTGGAAGGAGAAGCTGTAGCGGTCGGTTTGGGGCAGCACAGTCCGCGTCTGCAGCGCCCAAGCCTGATAGTTGCTTGCCCGGGACATTACGTGGACCTCTGTGCTGCTGCTATCGCCAGCATATTTGATAGCGAACAAATCATCACTGGCGCTGAGCTGAAAGGTGAAGCTATCACGTGTGGCGCCGCTGAGGGGGGTGGTTGCGCTCACAACCGCAGTCTGGTACTTGCTCGCCTTGGAAAAGGTCCGCACTGCAGCGCGCCCGCTTGTGCCACTGTACACACGGCAAGAAAGAGGGGAAGAGGCCATTACACTACTAGGATACCCACGAGGAACGGTTCCTGGCACAACTGCACAATCGAGCAATGTGCAGCTTATTGGCAACAATTGCTTCAGATACCTACCTGTAAATAGGATAGTATAACTACCAGCAGCATAACACATGCATGCTTAGGAGCAATCAACAAACCGCCCACAAAAATGTATGTCTTGGCTGCTGATGCATCTATCCCCCACACACCTGTACTTTACGACGAGCAGGTTGTCCGCCGAGTCCAAGAGGAAGGCGTGTGTGCTGGGGCTGCTTACTGGCACAGCTGTGCCCGTCTGAAGCGTGAAGTACTGGTAGTTGCTCGCACGGGAGAGGACGTGCAGCTCGGTGCTCAGTGTTTCGCCCACATACTTGACAGCCACCAGGTTGTTTTGGGAATCGAGCAAGTAGGCGAACTCATCGAAAGTGAGATGTGGCATTGCCACCTGCAGTGAAAACGACTGGTAGCTACTGGCTGCGGTGAGCACATGCAGCTCACGGAAACCGCTGTTGCCGCGCTGAAGAATGACGAAGAGGTCCAGGTTGGTGCGGCTGAGCAGGAACACGTGGCTGTCGGCCGTGGCGCCAGCCAACACGGTTGGCAGCTGCAGTGAGAAGCTGTTCCAGTTGCTGTCACGGTCCAAGAACTGAACCTCAGCTTGGCCACCCACGCCACTGTACTTGACCGCCATTATATCTGAGACGCCAATGCTGGAGCCTGGAAGCGAAGGTTATGGTGGTGTGACGGTTGGTTGCTTGGGAACCCATTGGCTAAGAGAGGTATGGAGTGTGTACCGAAACTAAGCTATAACTGGCTAGAGGCCATAGTCCCTGCCTGCTGTGCCAAACGCTTCCCGTACGCATGGCAGCAGTTCGATGGCGTGTACGTGAGATGAGCGGGCATGACGGTTGCGTATTAGGTGCAGCCCCCATCCTACACGCACACGCTTCTGTGATCCAGCTTACGCACCTTGCAGCAGAGCACGGCGCTCAGCAGGCAGGTACGCGCCAGTGCTGTTTAGACTTATGGGGCTCAAGCTGTCCAAAGCAGGCGCCTTTGCCAGAGGCGTTACCTCCAGGGCTGTGGAAGTACCTGTCCAGACGCGTTCAAGCATGAATTTGCACGTGATGTCGGTTATTACGCACACAGCATATTAATCCAGATGTGGAGTTAGGTGCGTGGTAGTGGCCAGGAATTGGTTCATAAACCCCATGATGGCTTTCCGAAAGAGAAGGTCCCGGACTCACCCACCCCTGTCATACAGGCAAGCATGCCTTACAACCTTCAAACTTCACCAAGACGCTATGGGGTTTAATTCTGCTCCTAGCATGCACGTTCACTGTTTTAACCTAGTCCCCTGACCTGTGGCAGTTGCAGCGACTCGTGCGGTAGTGCTCGCAGGGTTTCCGACTTCCAGCTCCAGCTGCTGAACATTCTGCGTGTATGGAAGGCGAGGGCGGAAAGGGTCGTCAGCAGTGATAGCTGATAGGGAAGCGTGCTAGGGTTGGTGGAACAGAGGCGAGGGTGGAAACGAAGTGCAATACATTGGGACGGAGCCAGGCTATGGTGGGACGCCGGCGATAGGATGACCCATCAGGAGCGATAGGTGAGGAACTATCTAGGTTTTGGTAGGAGGTGAAGACAGGGGAGGGCTACAATGAGTGATAGGGGATGAGGCTGGGGTTTGACTGGAGGCAAGAGCGGGAATGGCTAGGAGTGATAGGGGAAGGAGCCAGGGCTTGATAGGATCCACGGGGGGGAGGGGCTATACTAATGAGCGACTGGAGAGGACTAAACAGGGCACGCATGCTGGTGCCCATGCCCAGAGCGAGCAGGTGGCGTACATTACACGCCTCTATGTGCTCCAGTTATGTTCCTCCCTCCTTATGGGGCTAAGGAGGCCCTAAATATCGCTGCGCATGATTATACTCGCCGTGGAATCAGCAATAGTGATACGGTTGACGTCCCTGAAAGACTCCTCCGAATCCAAAAGCTTTTTGCCTAAGCCATGCCTTTTATGCTATGTTTCAAATGTACATATTGTGTTTAATAGGGTACGACTGTGGGCAAGTAGATAGGAGAAACATAGGCTTTGCTAAGGCTGCGCTACTGATGGGCTATGGAACGCGTCGCCATGACACTACTTTGATGTAGAGTTTGTGGCCGCACAGCAGGTGTAAAGGTTGCACAGCTCCAAGGATTAAGGTGAATGTCGTACTTGAACGCAATCGGTACAAGCAAATACATGTTACTGCTATTGAAACACACCGAGGAACAAGTGTATCAAGTGTTTTCTGCCTGCAAATAGGTGTGGTCGGCATGCTTAAGCATTTGTCCGGGATTCCCAACTTGAGGACCCGTACGTAGTCCGATCCGAATCCTCATACTTTATTAGGAAAGCAACGAAAGAATTGTGGTGTAGAAGGACATAATTATACTGCAGCACGTCGTAAGGCCAGCAGGTCATCAATATTCAAAACAATTAGGTTAAAGCCATTGTCGCAGCGAGAAATGCGACATGGCCGTTGGACAACAAAGCAGCTAGACAATCTCTCTTGGGCGCCGAGGCGATGTGGAACGTGAAGCCTAGGTCAACAACTCATCTATCTTTTACCCATGCAACATAGGCGCTTCAGGAGTATTAAATTACTGTCGGTATCATGCAAAAGTAACGGTGCATCAATTCGTCCACCGGTTGACGGTCGCACTTCAGGACGACGGCAATGCGCCAACAAGCATGCGAAACAGTGTTTACAAAACGAAGCTGCTTCTCGGCAAAGGATTGTCTGATTTTTAAGTCTCTTGAAGGAACCTCACAGCAGCAGGCGCTGTAGCAAGAGAAGGCAGCAATGTGATATAGGCTTGTCCACTGGAAGAAATCTCACAGCAGGCGCAGCCATAAAAGAACTACAAGAAAAGGCAACAATGCGACGTAGTGTTTACAAACATAAGGGCAGGTCATTAAATCGCTTCGGTCTGGTGGGTTAGCTGGGCATGCACATAACCGTAAACACGGTAATCGAGAATGGGCATGCCCATGCCCGTTTGCACGGCGCATTTGCTTGCTGTAAGTTGTGAAGGACATTTATAGCTAAAACTTTTCTACCTAGAGCGAGACAGTAAGGGCTTGGCCACGCAAGTGAATACCGGTAGGGGCCACCGGGGTTTCAAGGTGCAGTACGTAGAGATGGGAAGGAGCAGCGAGTGTAGGCGATGAACTAAAGATGAGGGGTTGGAGGGACGGGAATTGACGGGAAGCGCACTTCCCTAGTACCGGTAGCTATGTATGGGGCGGCAAGGTACCGATAAGTACATACAGGCTTCGCAGCCTTTACCAACCGAACCCGCCTATGATGTGCCTCGACTGTATCCGTAGCTTGGAGTCTAAGACTGAAGCCGGACTATCCTTGCGCGCTCACCTGGGCCGCTACCGTTGTTCCGACAATGCTGCGCACACCATTGGCCGTGCGGGGTGCCGCCAGCAAGAATAACGCCACCAACCCGGTGATAAGTATACGAGAAACCTACGGGGCAGTACCGATGAAGGGATAATGCATTTTGCATTGCTATCGGGTAAGCATTGCCATCGGGTCAAGCAAAGGTTTACCTGCTGGCCATATCGACGCTGGCAGCGAAACCTTCTTAGGAAGCATAGCCCTGCATGAGAGGAACAGAAGTAGCGCTTAACACTATAAAAGCTTGGAGTTAACTCCACTTGCGAAGGTGATTGGTCCTACCGTCGTGGGCCATGCTTGGAGTTGTTTCGCTCCGAGGCCAGGCTTCACAGCTAATTCGTGAGCCTCATCGAAAGCAATGGCTTAGGGAGGAGTAAATAGTTAAAGCTTTCTGAGATCGTGGGCAATTGCGTCGCCGTACGCACGGGCATTGTCGACAAGTCATGAGTTAATAGCAAATTTTGCCTTTTCAGGCAACATGTTTCTGGGAGCATGCTTTGGTACTCTTACGGTATGTTAGCTATGCAATCCCTGCCGCGCACTGGCGACGCAGTGTGCCGCGGCACATGAACTTAGGGAACGCCTAACGCGTTTCCTCAGTTATAATGTTTTGTGAGTGTACATCTGTATACAAAGATTACTTTTGCCCAACTATTTTGCACATATCGCATCTCTCCATGTGCCGTGCCGAATAGAGCTTTACGGTTTCGCAACCCTTGGCGACCCAACCAAAGGTGTTGGTCAGTCCACGATATCCACAAGCTACTGCTCAAACAGCTTGTGCGTGTTGGTTGCCCATGCATGTTGCAAGAACTCATAACCTGCCATCAATTGAATTTAAGGAGGTTCTGGGGCTGGAACTACCGAAGGACTTTGTGCGGGCGTGTTTCTTATGATGTTGGTGCGTATGGTGGAAAGAATGGAAGGGTATCCTAAATGTTGCACGGTATGTCGGTATTACAATAGACCGTGGGTCAGCGGGGCGGGTTACTTCTGTTCACATGGCAGACTAAGGCGCCCATCGGACCGAATTGCCTGACACTTTGCCTGCAGCTGCTTGTGCACATCTGCTGCGTTTCGAGTGCGTGATCACACCCGGGCCTTTCGACGTACTGGGGGCGAGGGGAGATAGGAGGCGGAGTTGCTGCTGGTGAGTAATTTAAAGCGGGCTGTAAGTGCTGGGTGTCATGAACAACGCTAGGACGCGCAGCCTCTGGCTGCTTGGAGGTAAACCACACCTTACAACATTCGTTGGAGTCACACCATTCCATGATGCAGTAGTCAGCAATGTTCAATGTGCATTCCACGGTCCGTACGGCAGATGCATCCTGAACCACAGCCGCATGCACACACCATACGGCTAATTCTCTTGCATGGCCAACACAAAAGCGCACGTACAACACATCACCGACACCACCATACGACTGTTTATGGCCCATGCAGTTGCGACGGGCTCTCATGCGCTGCAAAAATGTGAGTCTTGTAAATTGTTCACCCGCCGCACCAATGGAGCCGCCAAACTGCAGTAGAAGGGTCGATGTCATACATCTAGCGGGGCATACACAGCCGGGCGGATCCAGCGCGCCCGTTGTATGTCCATACGCGCGCCCAACTCCCAGCCACCGCCGGTCCGTGCGGAACCTCATTCCATAGCCAACAAACTGCACGCATGTCACAACCAAGGCCCAACACGTTACGTACAAACACCAACGTTCAGAATAGTTCGACAGTAGCAGCACCTTACGGCACGGAATCGAGAGAAGCGTTTGTGAAACGCATGATGACCGGCAACCAACTATACCAAACACACAATCACTAGTCTAGTCCGTCAAGTGGATTATCCAGCCCCCTTCTTTTCAGCCACTGCGACGCTAGTAGGGGCATCACGCACGGTTTCGAGTATGCACTTGCTACATGCAGCTGATGACAAGCAAGGCCAACCGCGTCTGTCTAGTTGTATAGCGCACACCAATGGTTCCGCTAATGCTAATTCATGCCTCGTACGTCGCCTTGCGGCTTCCGCACGTATGTATGGTAGATGGTCCAACCCTTCCAGCAAAATAAGCAGACAAAACAAGTCAGTACAACAACCCTTAGTGAGGGCCACTCAACAAGCATGTAACGAAGCCCCGCCGTGTCAATTAAACACACCAAATATGATGTGGTAACCAAACAACTAAGCACGCGACTGTCAAGGCTAGACTGCTAAACCAATGTCCACGCAAGGCCAGTTCATGCCAGCGCAAGCTATCTAGCCAGTAGTAGTCTGTGGTGTATGATGATTGATGAACAAGCCTCCGACTTCCCAAGATACTGGTTATGAACACTAGCTGCTGGCTATCCTTTGGGTGCTAGCAAAGAAACGTTACGGGGGCGTCCTGCCGATAGATAGAACCCGGCCTACCTCTCCTCGACCCCTTCCCCGCCAATAATGATTGAATGCCCCCAATCTCCCATTGTGAATGATGAATGAATGATCGTTAAGGTGGTCCCCAACCGTGCAACATGTGCTGTCGCCTACGCCCCCGTAATGAAGCCATGGGCAAACACTTGAGACATTATGTGTAGATGCGTTCACATGCTGACATGCAACATCCCTTCCTTCAGGGTCAAAGGAAGGACCTCGCTTAATTGTGTCCAGCTACAATGGAAAGCCCGTGAACACTTTCAATAGATATCATAGCAACCCTACCTCCGGCCGTAGCGGCCGGTTGTTGCAGCTGTAGCCCGCCGTGCCGCCAGGTTTTGCGCCTGGTCAACCCAGGAGCCAAACAGCCTCCACATATGCAGCCCCTTGCCTCACCAGGTCACTGGATGGACGGGTGCCTCATCAGGCCACTATCGCCTCATCAGGCCACTAGCTAGACATGCGCCTTGTCAACACCAGGGCGCCTCAGTCGCTCTGTAAGCTCCGCGATGAGCGCCTTTTGCTCGTCCACAGCCGCCTGCAGCGCCGCGATCGTATCCTGTGGGAGAGAAAGAGGTCGGACGCAGGGAGTCAGCAGGGAGCGAGACAGGGGTTAGCTTGTACAGCAGTAGTAGGTCACACGAACGTTATTGCTAGATAGCCCTATGCACTATTTATATGCAGGGGTAAACCGTTTGAGGTAGGCGCGCGTGTAGGCAGTTACGGAAGTTGCCAACTAGCCGCCAGCAGTGATTATGTGCATATGTGTTGGATCCCAAGTATCGATATCGGATTGTGACCTAACTGCCCCCTGTCTAGCTAAAGGGCATGCAGTTCACTCGTGGACTCGCCCACGCCCCTCCGCTGCCGCCCCGCCTCTTTCTCACCCTCTGGCGACTCCTGAAGCGCTGTTGGGCAACCCGGTTCCGAGTGCGGCAGTCCTCCTGTGTAGGAACAGGAGGCAGGCAGGCAGGCAGCAGGCAGGCACAAAGGTGTGTTATGGAACCGTAGGCTAGGCTACGTAGGGGCGGCCAAAGGAGGGCACGTGCATAATAAGGCACAACCTAGCGCGTCTGTGTGAGGAGAAGGGGTTTAAAGCAAGCGCACAGGGGAGGGCGCTAGCTGCAATCAACATGGCAGATGCGATGCGACCCAACCCAGGTCCCACCCGGTGCTCCGTAACCGCCTGCGCCAGGCCGCTCTCCACCTTGACCACCAGCTCCCGCAGTTCCGCTCCCTCCAGCTGGATCTTGCCTTGTGCAGCGCCTGAATGGAGAACCATG